ATTGAAGTTATACGCACAATCCGGGAAAAAATATATCTTATATAATTATATATAGGTAGAAAATATAAAAAATGTAAATTGACATATATTACATACATCTTTATGTACATAAGATAAGAATTTTGTAAATTCCCATCATTTCCAGAAACTTTTTGCGATTTCTTTCTAAAAAAAATTATAAGATTGATCAAATGAATTATAAGTATACATGTTAAATAATTTTAATTTGAGGATAAATTATTTAAGGATAATTTATCGACAATGATTCCATGTTGCTGATAAAATAATATATTACATTTTATGCACTTACAAATCCACAGATATGCACTGTGGCTTCGACAAAGCAAGCCAATAAGAATATACGAATTATGGGTTCGCTGTTGATGCGATTCGTTCTTTCCTTTACACTCTTTACACGTATTTATCAGAATATTTACAATGAGTATAAAAATCTATCTTCTACCTATATGCTAAATACCATTCTCTCGACCCGTCAATTCTAGCTATAACGATTATCAATATTCTTGAGAATAATCTCTTCAAAATCGAATTAAATTAACTAAATTGCAATTTTTTTAATTCAAAAGATGTTATTTAGTTAATTTTGTAAATTCAAATATAGAATTCCAAGATTCTAAATGTACAGCGATATCAAAATTTCCTTAAATTTATAAATATATAGGAGAAAATTCGGTTTTTTTTAGATCTCTTAGAATTTAAGATCTCAGAAATTCAACTTCGAGAAAGAACATAAAAATTCGACAATTTAGATCTTTTTTTGTTACTGAACTTGTACCTTATACATACTTAAAATAAAATAGATATTTAAAATTTGAAGACATTAAGACAGAAAATTTTAAAGTGCAGCGACAAAAATAAAGCCTGCTTTCTCTCTGCATTTACATTCTTCATTTTTCCTTTGCTGTACTTTTTTTATTATTATATTTTATTCATGTATGCTCTAATCATCTATGTTTAACTCCCACATTTCTGTGACAAACTTATCTCTAAAAAAATATATGTATTTGTATTGCGTCGAAGTCTCTCCCGTACTTCAGGCCACCTGTTATCGATCGCCAAGAAATCAGAACACAAAAGAGAATCTCCCTACAACATAGTGGTTTTGTGTTCAGGGCACCTATCATATAGAACAAATTAGAATGAATTTTAATCAGAGTTATTCCGTTTTCTCTAGATTTCTATTGTGTTTACAAAGGGAATAATTAATTCCGATCGAAATCCATTCTGAATAATTCCATAATGCATCCTACAGTTC